ATATTATTAATTATTCTATCAAAGTTATTGAAAAAATAACTATAAAAATAAAAATATCGAGAACATGCTAATTTTGATCGATGTAACAAAATCAATCACATAATCTTCATATCTTCTGTTCACGTGTAATAGAGGTTACATTTCAGAACAGAGCAATTATTAACCGTATTTCTAAGGTTAAAGTCAAAGGTTAGATTTTGTCTCAGATATACAACATATTTTCAATTTAATTTTGATGCCGACTTTCCGAGATTTGTCGCATTAATACAATTTTCCTGGAGTTACATAAAATTTCCCCGCCACTTAACAAGCATGCAACACCATTTACGTGTTCTTCTCCAGAAACAAAGAATTAGAAAAACTTTGTTAAACTAGTCATCAACGAGTACCTCTCAAAACACGTGACAAAGCGTGTCGTATATAAATTTATTTACTTCGAATAATTATAAAATTATTTTTACTCCGTGTTTAACTCAACGCTATCATCTCGTCAGATACGCGAACAAATTAACTGAGCGGCTATTATTTCTAATAATCTTCATTGTAATCTTGTAAACCTACCTTGTATGTGTAAAACAAGGTTCTCGCCGAAACAGCACGTGTTTAATTGCGTGGAGAAAGTTTAAGACTTTTGTGATCACCGAGCCGTTGAACGAAAACTGATATCAAAGTAGTTCCCAGCTTTACAAACGGTTGATGTAACCACAATCTCTCGTAACTTAAAATTTGAAACTCATCCTTCTTCACAACTCAAGCTTCTTCTTCTTCTTCTTCTCCCACTCTACCATTACGTGGCATTGGGCGACGGTATCCCACGTATGCAACCGCTGCGTGTCAATGTACTGCGCATGTAGGGATAGATATTTGATATGCGTGTGTCGAATTATGTTTCTTCTGCGCATGCAGCTGGTGAGGTGGCAGGAAAAGATGTTTAGGGTTTAGGTTTAGGTTTAGGTTGTCGAAGGTCGGATCTTGAGTTATTAGGTTGGGAATCCTGCTGTACAAAAGTCTTCAATGCTTTAGCAAGATGTGGAGTCTTGCCCTCAGCTATCCAGGAGAAGCAAACTGTAGAGCGGTGAAAGCTATTCTCACTGAAGCAAATTATTGAAGGCCTCCGTACACAAATGCCAAATAAGAGTAAACAAGTTTAGTGTTTTTATTTTACATTACGAAATACTTTGAAAATAAAAAAACTAAACTTATAGCTTGTGACGTATCTTCTCGTTCCAAGTCCAATAACGGCTTAATAGACGTATGTAAAATGCTTCTCGTTCCACATCGTGTGAATAAATTATTTTGCAACTAACGAAATTTCTTTAAGAATGTCACTTGACGTCACTGGGTGCTTTCCAACTACGTACACAGACGACAACTGTGTAACACGGTGTCCATTAGTGTGAGTGAGACACACTGATATGCTCTTTCTCACACAGTGTTACACAGTGTCGCCTGTGTACGTAGTTGGAAAGCACCCACTATTAATGTCACACAAGTGCGAGGAGCCAACAGAATTCACACAAAGTCACACAAGAGCGATTTCGTTTCACGAAGGAATTCATCATTAGCTAGCACAAATCGCTCGGACACTTGACAACATCGATTGTCCACGCTGAGATATGTTGAGACCATTATACGTCGATTGAAAAAGCTCGCGCGGATCAATTTTATTAAACGTTTATTACATCGCCATTAAAATTTATCAATTTCGAAGCACATATGCGCGTACAGTGATGAACAGAGCGCAAGCCAAACTGTATTCGTTTTCCGCCTCATTTAAAACTTAATGTATAAAAAACGTAGAGTGTGTAAATGTAGTGCGAATTTATATAGTTCACTCAAATTGTTCATAATCTCAATGACATCGTTTCTCGTTTAGAAGTAAATTTTTTCACACATCAACCCCAATGATTTGTATCGAACAAATAATATCGGAAAGCACACGCGTGTGCACGCTCGCAAAAAAAAACTTGTCATTCTTTCGCTCTCGTCTCTTTCTCTCTCTCTCTCTCTCTCTCACTCACACATTTGTTCTTAAAACTTAGAATTTTTTAAACTTTTACTTTTTATATCATATACATATATATATATATATATATATGAAAGTAAGATATAGCAGCGTTTGTTTTTTCCTTCAATCGGTTTTTATGATCTAAGTGAAGAAACACTTTGCGCTTTTCACTACTGAATATTTCATCGGATCTCAAGTTCGTCGCGCGCTTTAAGGCCATTCCTGTGTCTCTCGAAAGACTCGCGGAGAAAAATGTAAACATGATTTTTCCTAAAATGCATTTGTACGGGATAAACGTTGATAGACAAATCTTTCACAATATACGAGCTCTAACTTTAATAATAATTAGTCTTTCACATCTTCCTAATAATTCAGTAGAGTTGAGTTGTGTTTATAAGCGTACCATATTTTGTTTCGCAATCTGTCCTCGAAGAGAAGCGCACACACACACACAGTCTAATCTGTTCTCGGGAAATCAAAGTGGTACTCGGACTCTAGAAATGTGTGACACTCGTACATTCGTGTTTCTACAAAATTGTATTTACGCGAGATCGAGTTCGACGATTCTGTGAATGATGAAAAGTGCAGATTTGACAAGCGGAGTTGAGGTTCAATTGATTAAACGTATAACGTGTGTGTTGGTCTACTATAATTGTTTCGCTGAAAACTTACTGCCTCACACAAAAAAAAAACTAAGTGCACTGGCCACGTTGGCACATTGCACATGAAAAACCGGGATTTGCGAACAAATCGAGCAGCTCTCGGATCGGAGAGCGTTTCGGAGGGAGGGGGGGGGGCAGGGCTTTTTCGTTTCAACTATATGAATAAATTTTAAAAAGATAAAACTATTGGTAGGAGCTTTGTGACTCGTTATACAAACTTAATACACAATTACAAACAAAACACTCACGCATCAAAAACTGTGTAGTTAACGCAAGTCGCTACGTAACAATACGATAACAACGGTCGCGTTCAGCGGACTCAACGTGTTGAAACATCGCTTCGCGCTTATTATTGTTCGCGATTGATCTATTCTTCTAAAAGAATTATCTATTGCGGCTGTGTTGTAAAAGTGCCAATCATCAGGTGGTGAAGCACGAAGCGATGTCTCAAACCGAGTTGAGACCGCTGATCGCAACCATTGACGGATATTTATAAAAAATTGCAGCGATTCGAGAGCCATTGATCCTCAGAACTTTTATCATTGTATAATGCTATAAGGAATCATAAATTGTAAAAGATTACTAATTGATTTCTCTCCTAGCTCTCTCTCTCTCTCTTTCTTTCTCTCTCTCTCTTCCTCTCATTCTCCAACAGTCACAGATCCAAGTTATTCAAGTGCACTACTCGGTTTTGTGTCTACTCTAAATTTCGTGCGAATATTAATGATTTTTTGGTGAAATTTATTAACAAAACATATATAATCCGTTGAAGAACTGCTTGAATTTGCTTGAAGGAGCTTAAACGGTTATGCAAAGGGTACTAATGCTGGCTGACAGGCATGATAAAAAGAACCGCACTTGGATAATTTGTTGTTTTCTCATTCTTCGATTATAATCGTAAATAAAAAAAGGTTAATATTCCTCCTCGTCGTCGGGCGCTAGACCGTCGCCCTCCAGTTCTTCGGGTGGTGCAAAACCGTCCTGAAAACAAAACGTAACGTAATTCGATACACGTAAGATTGTTTATAATGTAAGAACGAAACCACTTGAGAGTGTAATTTACCTCTGTTGCGTAAAGAACGTCTAAAATTTTCTGTACAATAGGTGGAGGATCACCGCTATTATCGCAATCTTGGCACATGACCTCGATGTCACGTAATTTTCCGAAATAGAAATCTCTCTCCTTTTCCAGACCTTCGAGCGACATTTTTAACTCGAGCACCTAAAATGTTTCAATATCTTTATTATTTTATATACATATGTATGTATAAACGTGCGCACACATATGCAACAGATGCGTATCTACTTTCATCTAAAAAAAGAAGAGATACATCAAAAGTTCGAAGAAGAATTAAAACGCGATGTAAATTATAAAAGTCATCAAAGAAGAAGAAACACGTAGTGTACCTGCGCATTCAGCTCTTCGATTTTTCCACTATCACCGCGATTGCCAACTGCCGGGGTCGTCTTCGGTTGCGCACGATATGCCGGTTGAACTTTACTTACTGAGTAAAAAGAGAGAATAAGATTATATTATTTTAAACTATATATTATTGTTAAATCGTGAAATACTTGATATATAATTTTCAGTTATACCTAAACTAAATATGTACAAACTACGTTGTGTGAAAAGCAAAACCATTACATGCACGTATCTAAAATAAAATCATGCACAGAACATTTCGCAATATACAGTAATGCATTTATTTTACAAAATCTAAATATATATATAAAAAAAAAAACTGTCTTTATAACAAAGAATTGCAGAGCAAGTGTTCCTACGAGAAATTACTTTTGTATCACTTGTACAATACAGTGCATTAATAAGCGTTAATAACGTGATAGGAAATGATAACCATAGACTAAGTAAAAAGCTATGACAATTTGTGTAAGAATTAAAACTTCGTAAAACCAAACGTTGTGACTAACGCGTAAGAAATTTTCATACAAAAGTACCTCAGTTTTGGAATTATATGTTCTTATCGTACAGTGTGTGCCTGTTTTAACAATTTAAGAGAAGTATCACCACAATAAAGAAGTAAACACAGAAATTAACACGAAATATGTATATGAAAAAAAATAAAAAATAAAAACAAAATGAGATGCTAAGAGAGAGTTTCACCCTAAAACCTACTTGTATTGTCTGCACGCACACAGAGGTTGGAATTGAAAAAGTTTCTCACGCAAAGACAAATTTAATTTCAAGTTGATTAAGAATATCAATGCAACGTGAAACATGTAATCGGATTATCCGTTAAAATATCCAGCAAGGGGGGCAATGCCACACAATTCCTACTCGTTATCAATCTCCAATCGAACAAAGTACGGAGTATAATCTTCAGAAAAGTTTAAACCTACTGATTTTTAACATTTATACAGATCTTCTGTAAAATTTACTTGCCTAAGTTATGATACAAAAAGATAAGATCTTCAACAAATCACAGGGTAATCGAACAAACGAGTCACTCAATCGTTGATTAGTATAAATTTGTGTTAATGTGTAATGAGAGTTTAAAGTTTTATATAAAATTATTCCGTTTGAGGATTAAAATCTTTTTCACGAAACTGTATTAAGAAACCTCAAACTTTTCACTCATGTCAAACTTGTTAAATTGATGGAAATTTTATTAAATGATATACCAGTAGTAGTAGTAGTAGTACGAGGAGCAGGTTTAGCCGAATTTACTGTTTCACGTGGAGAAGTACGTTTCACATTAGAACCACGAGGTGCATTACTTCCGCCACTACCCATAGGTTCTCCTCCTCGCATAGCAAGCGCATCGTACGGCTCTGCCCCTGAGTAGTTCGCATCAAAGAACTTCTTGAACCATTGCAAAAATTCAAAGTTGTCTTGGAACCTGCCTTTCACCAGCCTATCAATTGGTACAATCTGCAAATGGAGGAGTGGAGAATGTGTGTGCACACAACAAAATGAAATAAACATAAAATAATACAAAATAATATGATGTAAAAATAAATATAAATAAAATTATATTTGAAATAAAAAAAAAAAACAGTTTTACGCTAAAAAGTACTTTTAATATATTATTATTAAACTAAAATCCAAACTATATTTTTATATAAATTCTATTTAAAGACTGTTAGGAATAAACAATTCTGGAACCCTTTTCCTTTCACCCTATATAATAAATTTCAAAAATACAAGTGCAGGTTAAACGTGTCCTTTTCTATGTACATAAGAGAGTATTATTTTGTACCTCTACATATTTGCATCTAAGATGTATGTGTACAGTATATATCATATAATAAACATCTTTCTTTGATGTTTTTTTTCTATTCTCACATGATATGTAAAAATTAAAAAGTGCAATGTAAAGTAAAAATTGGTATTTGTGTGTAAACACATAGCTTCTAAAATACATGAGGTAGTACGCAGACTTAAAAATTGATACCAGAAACTAAAGTACTGTTGCAATTAATGTATAATCGCAATACTATTGGTGGTTATACGTTTCATAAGAGTTGTGAATTCTCACAATGCACATATTATATACGTGCACGTGTGTGCGAGTGTGTATGTACATACAGCGTTTTTTTTACAATAATTTATTAACATGTAAGCATGCAAAAAGCGACCGCGCGTAAAATCAAAACTGCGACAATATACCCTGCTGTTGTCGCGGCATGTTGTTACGTTGCTGTATGTGTCTTTGTTGGGGCTTGGATTGCGGCGGCAGAGGCACCAATTGAGGATTTGACAGAGTGTGCGTGCCGTCCACACCCGAACCCAATGGTATGCAGCCACGTGCATCGTAAGCATCGTACTCACGACCATCGTAATTAGCATCAAAAAACTTTTTGAACCATTGGAGAAATTCAAAGTTGTCTTGAAAACGTCCTTTTATCAGCTTATCCACTGGTATTACCTGAACCATTTCCATGGTTTTATCATTGTAAATTTTATTTGCATTACCTTGTTCAAGATTACATTATGACATAAAACTATATATAATTTGAGATTTTTTCATATATATATATATATTTTTTGATTTGCATATTGTCTTATCACAGTGACTTACCTTTGATATTCTATATTTAAAAGTTTATATTTTATTTTTATTAATTTTAACTATGTTATTTTGAATAATAGAGTAAATTATATATCTGTGCATGTTATCTGCTTTTTTTTTTCTTCAAGTAACAAAAATTATTTTAACTAGTGTAATCATTTTAAAACCTATTTCAAAGTATACGCGATCTCTTTATATTTATTGTCAGATTTATTGCCCGACACAAAATTATTTAGACGTTATTATTTTTCATACTTACTTCTTCAAAATGTGATCAAAGCTTTGAAAATTAATAAAAGAAATAGAAAAAAAAATTCTGTGTTTCGCTTACCTTATCCACATTCATTTTTTTGAAGCCACCTTGAAGAATTTTGAAATTTTGTATGTACTCGTGCTCCAGATTGGTCTTGAATTTAACCCTTTTCAGAGGTACACTGCCGGGAAATAGCATGTCCATAAACTGACAGTAGACCGCTCCGGTACATAATTCCTCAATCTTGGTAAACGATGACTGCAAACAGTCGTTCACCCACGCCAGCATATCATGACGACTAAGATTGTCCGACGTCATATTTGTCGCGTACACATTAACAGCCATGTTGATCTGTTTGTTTTAACTGGAACAAAAAAACAAAAAAAATTGGAACAACATTTGCAAAACTGGAGGAATGAAGCATTATTATCAAACGATCATTCTAGCAAATACTCTGATGCAATAATAATAATAATAACAATAACATTTGTAGGGCAACGGTAAATTTTTAGCGCTGACAGAGAGTTTTCAATCAGTAACAAACTTGCTGTAAACTTATATATATATAAATATCCGAAAAAGAATATATAAATCTAAAACCGCGATTACGCTAACCGCGAATGAATTCATTCGGCGTCTGTACATCTGATATATAAATAAACCCAATAAAACGGAGTCTTTGACGATAACCGAGACTTTCCGGCACGTCCGATCACGTCGTGGCGATTCCGAGCGTGGTCAGGATTAATCGAACGGTCGTGCTCGAGGAGACGACCTCAGGAAATACAACATTCCACGCACTCTTTTTGGCACGAAATTGTCGCGGTCGACATATTCGGAATTCTTTATCTCCGTGCGCGCCGCGATCTCGGCACCGCAAAGGATCGTCCGCTCGAGATCGATTCGACGCAACGATCGGAATCGTTTATTTCGCCAATTTGCCCGGTCCAAAGCCCGTCTCGCGTCAACATATATTCAAACGACAATAACGTGAAATAACGTGCAATAACTTACCGCGAGGATCGCAAAGACGCAGGGACAACACAACCGCACGGGAGTGGTTCCGCGCACGCAAATGACAAATGTGCACTGAGATGTTCAAACGCGCACACAACGGAAACTCCTAACGGTTCTCTCGACCGCGATTGGCCGGCGTCGGGCGCGCCATGCGCGCCGCTTCCTTTCACGCACGACGAAAGAAAAGAAATTTTTCGCTTTTCGCCACGTGTACACGACGTTTTTTAGTCACATGAAAATCACGACGATTCGATTTTCAAAACGAGAAAAAAAAATTTATCGTCCGTTCGCGCGGATAAATTTCATTAGTTTCCGGCGAGAAAGATTGCCGCTAGACCATAGATCATATATTTGCAATCTAGACGCAAAAATTGTACAGCAACTTCAAACCGAGTTTACATTATTCGGCACGTAATATCGCCCGCGCGTTCGATTATAGTAATCAATCAATTATCCCGTTCGCGAATTGGCTAATCGTATCTAGCTCGCTTAAGTATACGCAGCCGAATTGATCAATCACGCTTGACAGTTAATCGGAGATAGTATAAAAGCTATCGGAGATAGAGATGAAAATGACCTTTAACCTTAACAGAGCATCTTGTTCCCTCCGCGTTCAAAGACAGAAGTCTTGTTACAAGAGCCTACTGTATATATACATACGTAGTCATTTTCTCTTAACATCACTGTACATTTTAATAATAAACTCTTATAGCTATTATATTATTTTTATAATTATTTTTATAAATTATTGTATATCTGTATATATATATATATATATATATATTACAATTTTTTCTCACAATATATTAAAAATAGTATAAATATATGTAATTTAAATATTAGAATGGTTTGTTTACAATTACATAGTATACAATTTGTACAGCAAAGTTTAATTCTTCCACTTAACGTGTGGCAAACGTAAAGCGCTCTCGGCGTAAAAGTATTCTTCCGATTGAGGCTGTAACTTGGCTTTGTAATCCATCAGCGCGGCACGATCCGCTTGTTGCACAAACACCTGGAAAATTTAATATCAAACTCTGTGATCTCACATCTTCGAAAACTAAAAATCTCTCGCTTGTTTCACATCGCGTACATACATCAATTACTACTATATGACAAGACAGTCTCTTCGCCAACTCCAATCGTTTTTCTAAACTGTCGACGAATTTCAGATATTTTTCAAGAATGGCATACGGAGCGTTGTGCTTGTGCAATACTTGCAAAATGTCTTCCACGTATAAATGTGTTTGCAGTTTTGTATTACCAAGTATTCCCTAAATCAAGACATATGTGTAACTGTAAGAACAGCCAATTAAACAACACGTAAAACCAAATGTATGTACCTTTGTTAAGAGCAAACGATCGATATTGTCCCATTCTCCATTGGCGGCTTTAACTTGCAAAGCAACTTTCTGGTACAGTCTAGGAGAAATATCATGATCCTGAGAGAGCGTTGTGGGCGATATCACGACGAAATTAGCTGGTGTATCACAATAGTGCTTGCAAGCGTAATGCAGAGATTCCTGAACAGAAGAATTCACCGAAAGCTCCTCGCTCTCTTTCTTCTGTTTTATTCTTATTTGCCATTCTAACAAATTTATAATACAACCAATGAAAATCACGCTGTATATCATACAGAACAAAAAATCATCATCAACACACCTAATAACTTAATGTAAGATTCTAAAAATGTAGCTTCTTTACAATCCGGTAACATTGCAAAATGGACTTTGTAACAATTTTGAAGTTTTTGCAGTAACCTGTTGGGATCTCTTGTGTTCTTTATAATAATATGGAGATTCTTCATCTGTAATAAAATAATACACAGTGAATTTTTATATACTTCGATTTTTGTACTGTATATGCAACACTTACAGCAGCAGTTGAAGAATGACCCAGCATTCTGCAAAATGTGTTTGACAATGAGAGAAAATATTGACACTTCATTAATTGTATAAAATTAGAAAAATTACATACGTCAATATGTCAGTTATCTCACTTGTCTGCAATCTTATAAAAAGATAGTGTATATATACATTAACCGCGTCTTGTCTCTCAGCCAACAGTCTTTGTAGCAGGGACCGTTTCAAAGTTTTTGCGAGAAATAAAATTATCTGTAACACATTGCCCAAAATAAGAACAAAGTGACAACAAAGTGGTTCTAAAGCAATAGTAAATATCACATGGTAAACTTATAGTTTTAAGCTATAAAAAAAAAAAAAAGTTGTTTACTATCAAAATGGCATTTCCATCTCCGCTTAAAATAGCAGCATCCAATAAGGCAGTTTTACTGGCAAGAGATTTGTATTGTTCCAATGAATACGATTGACCAAGCAGTATCTTTCTCAAAGTAATGTCAGGCTGAGCAACAGCCGTTTCTGACTGCGCGGTTTGTAATTTGTCAGCAGCTAAAACTGCAAGATTGAAACATATGAAAATATCTTAAAGGTCAGGTGTCCTGTAAGAATTTACGGAATAAAAGTGTATAATTTGACATACTGCACGAAAGTGTTTTCTCAGAGATAACTGACAATATAGGTTTTGTGGCCTGAAGATCGTCGGTAAACTCAGTATTACTTGTTGACACTTCAAATAATTGATCCACCTACAGTTTTATAATTTATTTTAATTACATTAACATTTTTTCTATAAAGAAATTAGCTATTATATATATATTTTTTTTAATTGTAACCTCATTATTTTCAAAACAGAACGATCGCATCTCACTGCTGTTCCAAAAAGCATCATCGTCTTTGGCGGTGCTCATCGTGATTAAAAACTAATTAGCTTCGCAGCGTGTTGCACTTGCTACGTGTCGAAAATTGTAAGTGTCTGTCTTTTTTTTTATTAAACAACTTTGAATGTAAACATAGTGATAAAAAATTTTTGACATCTCTTATGGATCCTCAAAATATCTACAATCGGAGATAAGACTGAGAGCTATGAGAGAATGTGTAGTAATCGCTTTTCCGTCCTGAGTTACGTTCCAAAATCCTATCTTGGTAACCAAAAACTATAGTACACGTGACGTGAAATGTAGCATTTTAGTAACCAGGATAGAATTTTGGAACGTAACCCTGTAAGCCAGCGCAATGTTCAATGGGTGGTGCACATTGCAAACTACGCAACCATGTTTACGAACGACTTGTCGGTACGTACGTTATGTTCAAACGCGGACATAATTCTACTCCGTGCTATGTCCACGCAGATAGAAGTCTTTTTTTTTCTTTTTATTTTGGATATTTAACGTGCCTTTTAGCTCAACTAGGCTATTAAGACACATTTATATCGAAAATCAATTGAATTCTTATACTCTTTCATGGGAGGGTTGTGCAGTACACTACTGCAACGCGATACACGGCCTTTTTTCACAGTGGGTATACCCCATCTGTGTCGGGCTCGTGTTCAAGTTGTTTATGACTGATCGCCTGGGGCTGTGTTCAGTTAAGCAAGATGGAACGAACTAATGCAGGAAATGCAGGAAATACAGGAATTGGAACTAATGAATTCCTGTATTTCCTGCATTTCCTGCATTAGTTCGTTCCATCTTGCTTAACTGAACACAGCCCTGCACAAAAAGAAAAGTTCCAACGTAACCGTCGTCACGGAGGTATCGTTTCTCGGTCTTCTTCAGTCGACAATATAATTTTTTGATTTTAAGCAAAGCAAAGCATAGCGTATGTTTTGCTGTAGTAGTCTTTTTGTATATTCTTTATATTCTAGAATGGCGTATGGACTACCTTAACTCGGTCCACTGAACCAATTTTGCACCAAACCAACCAACAAAGAATGAGCCATGTTGGTTGGATGTGCGTATAGTTCCACTGTAAATATTTTTAGACGATAAATAGGTGTTTTTTTTACACCACTTTCTTTATCATCATCATTATCTCTAATTTAAACAAATACATATGTACCTAATAATCTTAAAGACAGTAATACTCAAGACCTAGAAATCAACAGTGAAAACCACTATATTATACAACTCCGTGATCACGCGTTGAATCCACGGTTTTGATTCAACCTTTAGTGAAGAGTTAGAATGGCGTATGGACTACCAAGGGTCCATTGAGCCATAAGGGCATCAAATACCAATACCAATGACTGATTGCCTAGTGGGAGATAGATTAATTCGAGATTACACTCGAATTAATTTTTGGAGTCTCGATTCAGTTCACCGATCAATCGATAAACTCGATTGAAAGGAACCGGCCCGGAAAAAAATCCTTAAGTGATGAGCGGATTCGACCTCGAGACCTCCGAGTTCGCAGCCCCTGCACTCAGGACGCGAGACCACTGGGCCGGTCCTCCAGATAGAAGTCTAAAAGCGATCACGCTTATAAAACTTGTTCAACATTGGGTGCGTTCAGACAACTCAACGGTTGAGAGATCATCACTTATGATAGGACTATTCTTCAAAATCTGAGGCGGTTCCAAAAGTATGATCTAATCAGAAGTGATTATCTCTCAACCGTTGTGCAACTGTTGAGTTGTTTGAACGCACCCATTGATCGCAAGCGCAAACGCAAGGAACAGGTCTGGTAGATTTGACTAATCGTATTGATCAAATTAGCCAATTGACCAGCGTGATTGGTCACTTCTACGAGATCTATACTTTGCGTTTGCGCTTGCAATCAATGTAGAACGGGCTTAAAAAAATGTGTACTTTTGTAAGACAGCGCAATGTCCTTGAGTGGCGCACATTGGCACCTACGTAGCCACGAGCGACATGAGCTGCGTTCGGAAACATCACTAGTGTATATTTTATCTTTATTACTCATTATATATAAAACAAAGATAGAATGACGCTCGTGTGTACACGAGTGCTGTTTCCGAACGTGACGATGGTCAGTGCGTACGTGGAAATGATTCTCTTCCGCTATGTCCACAGCGTGCAGTTCTATTCTGTTCACATCCTGACAGATTGAATTCACATTTTGACCAGATAGGTTCACATCTCGATTGGATTCATATTGGATTTAAAGTAAAGTCACGTGACTTGAATTACGTGTTGGTTTTCCTCTTCTTCCTGTCACGTGACGTTACTTTCGTCACGTGGACTAGAGAGAAGCCTGAGAGCGATCAGGTTCATAAGAGAATGTGTAATCACTTTTCCGCCCCGTAAACTAGCGCATGTCCACGGGTGGTACTCCTTGGAACTACGCAGCCAGTCCACGAGCGACATGTCGGTGCGCTATGTCCACAGCGTGCGGTTCTATTCTGTGCTATGTGCACGAGTTTAAATGGTCACTTTCTTTAAGTGTGTGAGTATATTCGAGAACGTGAACTTGATTTTTTTCGAAATTTAAAATGACCGATCTCGTGATGAGAAAATGAGAAAAGAAAACAGAAAAGCATAAGAAAAACCATTGCAACTTTTCGTACAACATAAATGTGATATACCAAAAAAGATGTGATAGTCAAGAAAAGAATCTTATTTTAGCGAGCAACATCAGAATTCGTGGAGTGTAGTCAACTATCATCTCCTTTTACATCATCATTTGCTGCTCTGCCTTTTATAAATTTTATTTTATTTTTTTAAAAACACTACATATCTATATATAGATACAAATTACACAAAAAACCATGTATATTATACAAAGGTGTTTTAACGGTACACAAATATAATGTCTGAAAAGTTGCAATTCCAAGAAATATAGCTTTTGCTTTTTTATTTAAAACTTTTTATCAGTGTGTTTTCTATTTCCAAATTTCATTTTACAATTTTTTTATACATTACAATAGAATACAATTCTATTACACATTTATAACATAAATAATACAATATACTACAATATTATACAATATAATATAGTTATATATAATCCTACCTACCTACCTACCTATTTTAGACATATCTTAAACGTTACTAGCGTTATTAATTAGGATTAAGGCTGCATAACAGCCTTGATCCTAATTTGACATTTTGATTTCTTCCTACTTATTCGGTCTACCATATTTCCTACCTACCCGGCCTAATATATTTTCTACAAGCGCTTGTAGATACACATTCCTACCTACACAGATACCTATTTACCTACCTACTTTGGAAAATTTTAAAATCTATCAAATATATTTTACGCGAGGGACAGTTGTTTTTTAAAATTAAAAAGTATTATTTTTAATTTCTTTTACTTTCGCGACCGAGTTTTTATATTTTATGATTTAAAGAGAGTATATACCCACCCGATAAAAGCGTACCATATGTAAATAGATGAGAT